TCCCCCTCCTCCAGACCTGCCTGTCCTGCCCCCACGTCCCAGAACAGGCCCCCCGATGTTCCCCTTTCCCATGGCCAGGCAACTGCCCCTCTGATCTGCCCCCCTCCCACTCCACCCAGGCCCCTGCTGCCCCTACACTCCTCCCCTAGAACCTCACTTTACCCCCACCCCCCACCACTTTACCCTCTGTGGCCCATGAGATGCGGGGGCTTCCCACTCCTCCCTCCGGCCCCCACAGCACCCTACACACCTCTGCCCCCATTGCTTATCCGGCCTTCCCCTTACACCTCCCAGTCCCAAATCCTCTGCTGCTCCTTACCCTCTGCCCGCATGGGCCATGGGGGTGGGTTGTGTTTTTGGGAGGCTGCCTTTCCTCTGTTTGCTGGAGGGGGGTAGGTGGGTTTCCCACCTGTTCACACAGTGGCTGGAATCTGAGCCCTGGCCCCGTCCTCAGGAGGACCCCTGTGGGGAAGGCAAATTGGGTCTGGGAACATACTGGAGGGCCACCACAAGCCATCAAAACATGCAGAAGGGTCCTGAGCCAAAACCCTTTGAGACACGCTGGCCGCAGACACCGTTTGGCCCAGGAGAGGACGGCAAATATCCTCCATGCCCACCGCGCAGGAATCGGTTTCGTTCCGGGGGCAGTGTGAGATTGTATCACCACGAAAGCTGCTTGAACCAACTTCTCCACCATCCTCATGTCTCCAAGCCCCACCCTGAAATCCTGCGCTGAATCCTGCGTCCTTATTCAGCTACCCCGGGTAAATCTGGCGTGCCAAGCCGGGCTGACGGTGTCACTGAGCCATGGGGCACTTTGAGAGGGGGACACCAAGCAGGGCATCCAGATAGGGCCATGCAGCAGATGAGCCAGACTGTGCTCTCTTACAGGGGCACAAGTCCGTGCAGCTCCGGCGCACGGGAGAGCCAAGGCAGCTGGCCGCACTTGGAAGAAGAGGCTGTTGGTGGGGTCAGTTTGGGGGTGTTGTTCGGCTGCAGCAAAAGACGAAGAACATAAACTGGGTGAGTCCAAAGGTCCATCTAGCCCAGTATCCTGACTTCCTACAGGTGCCCCAGAGGGAGTGAACAGAACGGAACCGTCCAGTGATCCCTCCCCTGTCTTCCACTCCCAGCCTCTGACAAACAGAGCCGCAGAGCACCATTCTTGCCCACCCTGGCTAATGGCCACTGATGGACCTGTCCTCCAGGAATTGATCTAGTTCTTTCTTGAACCCTGTTCAAGTCCTAGTCTTCACAACATTTCTGATTCATCATAATGAAGATTCGTCCCCCCACCCCCAGCCTCCTAGAAAGAACAAGTGAGACTCAGTTAAACGTTCAAAGGAAAAGCAAACGTGAAGAGAAGTGCCGTGCTCCAGATCGCCATGTGCCCCAGAGGGAGCCTGTCTCTTGCTAAGCCTTCAGCCCTGCGCTTGCTGGATCCTATGGAGACAGGGAAGCTGCCCCCTGGTGTGCGCTAAGCTCTGACACCCCCCACGAAATAGCTCTTAAGCGCCCAAGTCACAGGGCCAGGGAAGGGTGGGCAGAGAGTTTTGCTACTCGCTGTGGAGGCGATTCCCTGCGGTGACTTGTTTTGTGGAATTCCTGCTCACTGTGAAGTGAGCACAGGGCTTCCTGCCGCTGCGGGTGCTTGGTTTGCTGGGTAGAAATGGGGAAGGGAGGTGGAAGCAGGGTTTGAATAAATGCTTCCATTACAGCCAGCTGGAAGGGGAGAGAAACCCCTGGTGTGTCCATGTAAGCAGGTTGCTCCTGCGTTGCTTAGAAGTGCTGGCTATGCAGCTGATGGAGCGGTGTTTTGCTCATCGTAATCAACTTGGCGGCTGCTGGGTCACAAATTGCGTGAAAACTAATTGCAATGTCTGTAATTATGGTGGCGATACAAAGGAAGAAAGTCTGTGCTTAACCTGGCACAGCGCAGGGAAACACTCTCCGTTTAAAAGTCTCGGGGGCAGCCCCGTGAGTCTGTAGCTCTAAAACCCAACAGGTGGTCCTGTAGCACCTGCAACTCTGGGCGTGTGCATGTAAATACCGTTTGCTTCTGTTTGCTCTGCTCTGCTACATATTCAATGGGCGCAGCCTTGGTTTTGCCCATTGTAATCAATTTGGCTGCTGTGGAGTCACAAATTGCGTCAACACCAAGTGCAGGAATTGTGAAATATGGTCACCAAGGCTGCAATTATTGTGGGGAAGCAGAAAAGCCAGACGGGGTTTAACCAAGTCCAAAGGAGAGAGACAGTCAGTGTAAAGAAACTTGGATGGACAGAGGCTCCACTTCCAGGGCCCTGTGAGGTTAAACGGGGGCAGGCCGGACTCTGAATCAGCAGGCTCTGTCCCCTCCAGCCGAGAGCTGTAAGACTGGTTCCACCTGCTTCTCCCCCCGGTTCAGCTATAGGCTCCATGCAGAGTCTGTTTTATTATTTTAAACGTACTTCA